TCAGAAGCAAATTCTTTGTCTGGGAAGGGTAGAAGAATAATGCTGTGATAGTTGCAGTAGTCTCATTTGCTGCCTTTGTTTCCAAAGCGGGAAAATAATGCCTTTTTGCCAGTTGGATGGGCTGACTCTGTTCTCCAGATGATATTGAACAGTGTGTGGAACCATTAACAACCGCTGATCTATCACTTCTTAACCGTTCTGCAGGAATTCCACAGACTCCTGCCTCCTTATTTCCCTTACACTTCTTTACAACGCTGTGGAGTTTGTCAATAGTGAATTCGCCAGGATCATTTTGTGTGTAATGGGTCAATTCAGCAGCAGCCTTAATGTCAGGGTGCAAAGAAATTGGAGGTGCATTTCAAGTTCACTCCAGCATGCCATGCACTCCGCTTCTGTATTGATTAGTTGGCCAGAACTGGAGTAGACCACTCTGAATGAATTACATTTCTCCTCAGTGAGGTCGCGTAAGTGTTTATATTAGGAGGCAATGTCGTTTCTGGCAGAAGCTGTGACAATCAGGTTCCAGACACTCCCAGGGGGTCTGAACCACAAAAAATAAGCAGTTGAATCGACTGATTGTATACAATATCATTGTACTATAAAAGTGTATCTAGTAAGGTCTTTTTTGAAAGCCAGTGACACACTGGTGATTAATATAATTGTGAAATGCATGTATTAACACTATATGAGGAATTATGGATACTCATTGATATTATACTTTAAAGTCTGTGGCCAAACAAAGGGAGAAACAGGTTTTCTTCCAGACAGGAGGGAAGGCAACTATCTCCCTGTCACCAATGAAATAAAGCATTGTAGAACCAAATCAGTGGACACCCCATTTACATAAGAGTCAACAAGAGGACGGGAAGTCCATAGGAAGAGAAGAATAGCGGGAATCATCCTGACCCTAGGGGCAAAACAATGAGTTTGGGGAAATATAAGGAAAAGCAAAAGCCGTGTTGGTATCCGTCATTTGGGGACAAAGGGAGCAACATTCTGTGAACAGTGGATCCTTCTGGCTCGAAGGCTGGGGATTCTGGTAGCTTGATGTAAGTGAGAAAGCTGCTTAGGCCATGATTGTAACTTGCTAAAGGTATGTTTCAGTCACTAGACTGACATAAGTGTGTTATAAGAGATCTGTCTCTTTTTCTCTTGCTTAGTATCACGTAAATCTGCATTCTTTAGTATTGCTATAAACCATCTCAGTGCTGTTATATTAAAGTGAAGTGTGGGTCCTCCGCTAAACTAACAGGCTGGGATGTGCATGGCCTCTTTGGAGGCAGCATACTTAATAATTGCTGTGAGAGAGACTGGACACTGCAGAGAGACATCTCTTGGGACCTGGGGTTCACGGAATGATACTTGCAAGGTAAGATTTAGACTGGCAGAGTCTCAAGGAGTTTGCTGGTGAGGCAGACAAACCAGTTGGCAAGGAGCTGTCACACTGTTTAAGCTCCAGCAAAGCTCTCTCTTGCTGAGGCGGTATGTTAACACGGTGGCTTACCGTTCTGGGCTCCCTGCAAAGAGCATCACAGAAGCTTCCTCAAGTGTGATGGCTTTGATTTCCATGAAAGGTTTGCAGTCAGCATGTATTACTTTATTACAAGCACCCTGTAGCTTACAATATGGGACCACACATTACTTCTCAAATGAGCCAGGAAACGCTTTTCAATGATGGTTAAGAGATTAACAGAGATCCAGGGCTTCTTGGCACTTTGTTTGGGGGTCCAGTGATGTCATAGTGGCATTGATTGTGTGGGATCTGAAGTCCTTTCAGGCAAGTTCAGCATCAGTACACTCTGGCAGGGCTCAGACCTGTTCAAGATTTCAACTGCACAGTGATTTCGAATGCTATAGTTTTTTAGGTTAGATAAATCAAATTTTGCCAACCCAATCACTGCTTTGCCTGTGCTTTTTAGTCTAAGACAAATTTGCAGAGACTACTTTATGTTCTTCAGTGGCAGATGGACAGTTTTCAATGATAAGAGATTATCATGTAATCAAACATCTTCTTTGTTTGGCCATTTTTACTCTGACAAGTAAATTGGTGAATTTGCTTCCTGTGAAACCAGGTGTTCATAATGACAAGCTCATGAGAAACACGCAACTGTAAAAAGTGTTCACCTTCCAGGGTAACAAGCCCAATAACGTTTTTTCATGCTTTACTCAAATTATCAACAATAGCCTTAAATTCACCTGGGAGAGTGACGGTGTCGTCATTCAGGGTAGTTCACAGAAGATTGCTGAGTTGATTGTAGATCTCGCTTGTTGTCATCAGAAGCTTCATTGGCTGGAGCATAGCAAAGAATAATTGTTCATGTTCCATGCTTATGCTGGTGCTGGGCTTTGAGTAGGTGACTGGAAATTGGTTCAAACGAAGAGAACAATTTGCAGATATGACGTTTAAGGAGGAGACCCACTCCTTCCTTTCTCGTGCCCTGAGCACCTGACTGCATAAGATGATAGTTGTCTATTCTTTCTTCCCCTCTATCTTTAAGGTGGGTTTCAGTGAGGCCAGTGATTGGCATCTTTAACCTGGACATTTCTCTAATGAGCAGCTCCTTTGAGCCTTCCTTATTCAGGGTTAACACTTTTTCTGTTCAATACATAAAAGACCCCTACATGTGAGATTAATTTTTAATATATCATAAATCACATTGATCTGAGGCAAACACATTCGTTACTTTCATAGCAGTTACTAGCCCATCCAACCTTAGGCCTGGGCCCTGTGGGAAAAGATGAGAACCCCAGAGTGGGCTCCATCCAGTCTGGCAGGATTGGTGTTGCCCTGTACAGTGCATTGAGCACAGGAGGTTAGACTGCCTACCAATGAGATGGGGCGGTACGGTTGAAGCAACAAGTGCAATACCAAAACTGAAGCTGCTCAGATGAACGCCTCTCCCACCTCAACCACTCTGACAGGGAGTCACTCTGGTTGATCTTGAAACTCATAGTCCTCTCTGACTCGCTGTGTAGAGTTTCTTCTCTTACATGACTCCTCGAGCTGCAGTCCTGTAACTGGGAAGAGAACTGCTTTCTTCCAAACTAGGTTGGGTGTTCAACAGAGTTTCATTGCCACCCCAGAACTCTGCAATAAACCATGTGCTTGAACAGACACTAAGTAAATGCATTTTAGGCATGCATCTTGATGATAAGAACCTCTCCAGCATTGATTTTGCCAGTGACATAGTGCTAGTTGTCAAATCAATGCACAAGCTGACTGCTGTGCTTAAAGCCCTGGAAAGCTCAGCTGCAAAAATCAGCCTGAAAATGATTTGGGGGCAAAACCAAAATTCTTCCTGTCAGCAATTCTGAATACACTGCAGGTTCTAGCATATTAGTGGGCAACCTCCCAGTCGAGATTGTTGGTGATTTCACCTACCTCGGCTCTGTTGTTGGTAACGTGGGCTGCACCGAGAAAGAACTAGAAGCCATCATTGGAAAAGCAGTGTCAGTAATGGGGTGCTTCATCGAGAGTGTCTTATGCAAACTGAACACCCTGATAAGGAGAGGGACAAAGCTGCAGATATATAATGCTTTGGTGGTCAGTATCCTGATCGATGGGACTGAAACATGGCTCCCACTGTCAAGATTAAAAAGATTAATTCAGTACCATTCAGATTAAGCATCTTTGAATGATTAAAAACATCGAATTGTAGAAATTCAAGCCAAATGAAGATACCTGTCTTCTAACTAAACAGGTCCTGTGCTTTCAAACGGTTACCCAGTGCTCTCTAAGGTGGTATTGTCTTTTGTTCCAAATGCCTACCAACTTCTCTGTGATAATCATCTTCGACTTTGACCCAATGAATGCAGGATGGAAAAGACCTCCTCAGACACAGTGGCCGGACAGCGTCAATAAACACCTGTCCCTCATAGGTGTAATGTGCCAGATTTGACACAGGACAGAACATGATGGAAGCATATGGCCCTGACACTGCTCAAGTGACAGCATGAGAACTAACCTAGCCTAAAGATAAGGGATGAAGATTGGTGCAACTCGGTGCAGACATAGTACTTGGAGCAGAGCAGATAGAAAGGTCCTGTGTTACTGTGAGCACAATTTGCTTAAATGCTGGATCAATCTCTAGAGTACATTTGTCATTTTACAAAGGTGATGTTCAGACCTGTATGTAAAACAAGACAGCTGGGGGAAATCTTTTGAACGCTTTAATTAAAATGCCACTGCTCATCTGGTCTAACTATACAGACAATGTTTTATGTATGCTAACATTCTAGTTATCTTAGTGCTAAGCTTCCAGAATGACTAGTTATAAATACATAGGGCCAGGAGATTTGCCTAAGTAAAGATAAAACAAGGATTCCAGGTTTGGATCGCTTTTTGTTAGGTGGATGCAAAAGATCAAGCATTAAATTTATTTATTGTTCTTTGTCAAATATACCTTGTTAGCATCTAGATACTACGAGGGCTGGAGCCAGATAAATACAGTAGGTACATAGTGAGAGAGATGATATGACACCTACAAGAAATCAGCCAACTAATAATGGGTAGGTTGAGACACAGTTGGGTAGAACTAGAATGTATTTATTTAATTTTAAAAATATATATAAAATTATCTATATGTTGGGTGTATTCACCCTCCCTTGCCCTTTATCAATATGTTGCTTTTCCCCTTAAAATTTAAGCTCTTTGGGGCAGGGACTGTGTGGGTAAACAGTGCCTAGTGCATTGTGGGTATTACCCAAATCCAAATAATAATTTTTTTTTTCATGCATAAAGTCCATCTTCATTTGTGCTTCGCACAGGGGTCAGGATTGGGCCTTCAGCAATCAGGACTCTGTTTGTAGCTGCAACAAGGCACTTGTTCCTGACAAAAGAGAGCATCTATTAGAGAAGCATGTGACTCTTTTGGGAAGCTTGAATGTGCCATGTATTTCAGCCATGATTCTCAAATATGAATTCCTCCTCCTCATTTGTTACCTTCTCCCCAGAAAGCGATTAAAGTGTTTCACATCCCCTGATCTGTTTTGTTTATTAGGCTCTGTGGATATCCTCCATTTTATGATGAAAATGACTCCAAGCTCTTTGAGCAGATTCTTAAGGCGGAATATGAATTTGACTCTCCATATTGGGATGACATCTCAGAGTCTGGTAAGGAGCTCATTTAATTGCAATAGCCATTTCTTGCACATTCCTTCATATTACTGAAGTCTACCATTCATACTTTCCAAGGGTGAAATTTGGATCTCCATAGTATGCCCAACTCCTGTTAACTTGAGGTCAGAGGGAACTATACGTTCAACTGAGGGCAGGCTTTTAACCCAAATATTTTTTAAGCATCATGGGAAATTATTTCTATGAGAGCCTCAAATTAAGTCCTGTCTCCTCCCAGTGTCAGGCATAAAACACCAAAACTTGACTTGTAGAGAAGACCATGACATGAGAATTCGTATTCAGCCCCAAGAAAACAACATACTTTCTTTTTTCCAGCATATCTGAATAAAATGCACATTTTCATCTGTCTCCAGTAATAGAAAACAAAATAACTCAGCGTTTTTTTCCTGAATGTGTTTGCTGGCCTGATTGATGGAGCTGTGCAGTGTAAACAGGAAAGAAGCAAACCCAGGAAATCAATGAATGAAAATGGCTAAAACAACAAGAAAAGAAAAATCCCATCAGTCCCTTGAGAAGGGAGGGCATGTGGTCAAGTAGTTATAGCACTAGGCTGGGAGTCAGAAGTTCTGGATTCCATTCATGAATCTGCCACAGACCTCCTGTTTAACCCAGGCATGTTATTAAGGTATGTGTACACTGGCGTTGGAGGTATAATTTCCAGCTCGGACAGATGTACATGTGCTATTTCTGATCAAATTATCATGTTAAAAATATCAGTGTATCCACCACAGCACAGGTGGCAGGATGGGCTACCACCCAATTATGTACTGAAGTCCCAGGCAGGATTGTGCTTGGGGCAGCTAACAACTTTCTAGTGCTACAAAATTTCATACTGTGTACATCTGGTGCCCAGATACCATAGTGATGGTAGAAATCCATCCAGAGGAAGATTTAGGGAATTTAGGAGCACAAAGCTGAAAGTCAGTGGGACTTCTCCTGAGAAATCCCCAGGGTACTTTTGGGAATCTCCCCCAAATAGATCAGATTAACACGAGGAGCCTAAATCAAGCCACTTCATTCCAAATTTGGCTTCTCAGACAGGCACTTAGGTCACATTTTTCAGGCTGCCTCATACACCTTTGATGTCCTCCCTTCAATGGTCTTCTCTCCATTTAAAAGTCTCCTGAACACACACTGCTTCAAGCCCGAGTGAGCTGATCACATTCACCACCTATTTTTCTTATATTTGATATTTAAAAAACAGCAGCCAAAACATTAACAGAACTACCCAGATGTGACTTGACTGAAATGAGTAATCACAGGCTCTGTAACGCTCGTCCTTCTTCACCCCATCCCCTCACTCACGGTGTCACATTTAAAATCTAGCACACAAATCCTTTGAGGCCAGTGACTGTGTCTTCTGTGAAGCCGCAAGTTTACTTCTGGGGAGGCCTATTAAATAATGATTAAATGGTTAAAATAGGAATGTGGAAATTTAAATATCTGTCTGACCTCCCTAAGAGAGTTGGAATGCTCAGTCTCTGTGCTCAAATTTGATAATTGACTCCTGTGTCTTTATTATTATTAATCTTGCCTATTGGGCTAGTCTTATGAATGGCACACTTCATTTTGATGAGGGTCTTGTATGAGTGGGCGGGAGGGGGAGGGAAAGGGGAAGACAGTCATCGTGTCATACATCAGTGTCGTTAAGACGAACCTTTAAATACCACGGTGTGTCCTTGCTTCTCCAGATGTCAGCCCAATTGCTTTTGCTTATTTTATTTTATTTTTTACAGCTAAAGATTTTATTCGGAACTTGATGGAGAAAGACCCTAACAAAAGATATACCTGTGAGCAAGCAGCCCGGCACCCATGGTAAGCAACTAACACAGTACTTCTGTTGCAGTGACCTCAAGAAATGAGACTTTTCTTTAATTTGTGTGTTCAAAGAGGAATGTTTGCTGCACTATGCTGTATACGAGCCTTTGCTGAGTAACTTATTGCTGCAACCCCTGTCTTTGGCCCCTAGTTCTCCCTGCCTGTTCCAGGGTGTCTGAAATTAGGCTCTGAACTTTCAAAAACTTTAAGCTTGCCAGTAGTCCCATTGAAATCCTTGAATAATTAGTTAATTGCTGCTCTCAGTTATACTGCGGCAGTGAGGTTGCATCAGCAAGGTTGCATCAGCATGAATCAATACAGAATTTGGCCCATTTTGCTAAAACGCAGATTGAAGTCAATGGGACGCAATTAAACTTAGCCATCTGCTTACTTATATGGCCCTCATCCAAATAGAGTCTGAGCACCTAACAACTACTGAAACTCTTTGCCTCACAACACCTTGGTGAGTCAGGGAGACCGGGAGATATCATCCACAATTCACAGGCACAGTGTCGACAATGATATGTCTGCACTGCTTAACTGGCATTAACTAACCATGTTAGCTAATTTGGGTTAAAATAGCAGTACAGACACAATGTGGCTAGCAGCTGAAGTTTAACCCAAGACTCCCCCTCAAGGGACTATGTCTTCACCGCAATTTGAACCCAACATAAGATCACACTTTTTTTGGCAGTGTAGACATTCAAGTGACTTGCCCAATATCATGCAAAAAGTCTGCAGCAGAAGCAAGAATTGAATCCACATCTCCTGAGTATCAGGCCAGTCCCCTGTCCATTAGGACAGTGGTTTTCAAAAGAGATGTACGAACTCTCGTCAGGGTGTACACAATAAAAATCCTGTACTGGCAGACAATGCACTTTATTTAATAAGACTTGGCAATCTAATCATAGATATATTATGACCCTATCTCAGATGGGGGTACGCAGTAGTCTACATTATTTGGAAAGGGGTATGCAGTCTAAAAAGTTTGAAAACCACTGCACTAGGCCATCATTCTAAGCACTCAGGGGATCACAGTTTTCGATACAATCCTTTAGGGCAGGGATGTTGGTGCTGTGAGATGCTGCTTTTGGGAATTGTACAATAATAACAATAATTGCAAAGGAAAGGATACTGGAATCAATGACAGTAGAAATCCTTTTCCACTCAGGAACATCACAGCTACTGAAAATATCACTGCATTCTGCGGTTTCATAAGGGTGGATGGTACACTAACCAATGTGTTTCCTCAGCACCTCAAGTTCATCCTGCATGTACCCGTAGCCATTTATAAAGTTGCTGAACTTGAACAATAATAAGTTCAGTAGCTTGATTTACTGCAGTACTTGTCCTGTGGGGGAGTTGGAGCACAATGGCCAAGTTCTGCGCTCAGTTACATTGGACAACCCCACTGCAGCAGTATACTTGAATGCAGAATGCAGCCAAGTTACAGCACTGGCATAAAATGAACATGCAGAGATGTTAACATAACAGTCATTTGCTTCATGTATCTGGAACATGGAAATTCCAAAAAATATGCTCTGGTCTCTTGAGGAGCAGTGAACTTTGTTGTTCAGAACTGCTCCCACTGCAGACTTGAACATGTAGCACACCTGTCTAGGTACCTGGCACTAAAATTGGATTTGACGTGTAATATGCTTGTAGCATAGTTTGCAAATTATGTAGCTTGGGTGCACAGTACGTTATCCATTTAAAAAACATGTTACGTTTCATTAAGGCTTAAAAGTGGTAGCATGGAACAGATTCCTAGATTAGGATTCAGGGTGTTTGGTATCCTTCATTGAAGTTCATTGGTTCGTCTGCATTTCATTGTTACTTTAAATTCTGGGACAGAAGAAAAGGTAGATTGTCTCCAAGTTTTTTACAGCAGAACACTGGAGCTGTAGCGGATTATGATCACTTGCTGATTGTCTGGGCACAATGAGCCTTGCAATACCCCATATTTATAAACACATGACTGATACTGCTTTCATTCACCTATAGGAAAATTATCCTCCTCTACCTAGCAGTAGATTGTGTAATGGTATGGGATGTAACCTGATGTTCAGAAATCAGTGCAATGCAAAAACATGTTTCTTGCTATGCTGGTTTCCTTGCTGATTGCAATGTCTAAAAATTAGGGTCATGGTTTGCTCCTCTAGTTAACAAGTGACTTGTGATGCAGGTCAATGAATTGTGAATGTATACAAAGCAAGTGATAGTCCTGGAAATCTTGGCATAATGGCATGGATTTATCATAACTAGAGTACTACATCAGACAATGACTGCAGGCTCTAACAATAGCTGTGATTACAACTAGATTGATACTCAGTCTTTGCAATCAAAGGGGCAAAAACAACTGGAAAAAAGAGCAATATATCTCTTTTCTCATAATAAACAATAAGACATGAGACACGGAGGATGTCACGCAAATAATCTAGGAAATTGAGATTATTTGTCTTCATCCTTCCACCTACCCGCTACCATAAATACATTGCATATGTAAAATATTAGCAAGATCAATGGCCGGCATCAATATGAACCAGAAATGTGGAGAAGTCAAAACATAAATCATTGCAAGTCTCCTCTGTCCCATCGATAACAGTACCTATTGTCTTGGTAACAAAAAGGAAATTTGGGAAACTGTTTGTAATTTTTGTGAAGGAAAAAAAGTGTTTTCAAATTATACAATTCTGAGCCTCAAGAAATTAACCAAGTGATAGAAGTGGATATTCCAAATAAAAAGTAAAGAACCAGAAATACAGCTCCCAGCGGGGAACTGGATGACCTTTTATATTTCTGAAGGACAAATTTTCTGAAAAGTTATTATCCAAATTACACAAAATGTTCAAATCCAAGTCTTGGCCTGGTGACATCACTGTTGGTTTCTGGACTATAATAAAGAAACGTGGCAAGACCAGCACACAGCTGCTGAGCCCTACCAATGGAGCAGGAAGATAAAAAGTGTTGTTTGGTTTTTTGGGTTTTATGTTTGTTGTTGTTTTTTGCAACTTGTTGCCAGAGGCCAGTGGAAAATCATGCTCCATAAATTTTCCTGCTTTCCACAGAATCCAACCTTCTGTTTAAAATCAACTAAAAAAAAGTTTTTCAGTCATTTCTGTTGCAGAGATACTTTTCTGCAAGTGTGGCTTTACAAGACAGTGGTTTATTTATAAGGCCTTTCCCAGCTATGTAAAGCATCGCTGAATCCAAGTGTGACGAGTTGCCCCCCTTCAAGGTGCCACCTGATGTGCTGAGATAACACTGAGCCCACCTGTTCTGCCAGCATTGGCCCCCTTTTAACCTGTCTTGCTGAGCCAAGCTCTTAAGCCTCCTCTAGCACACACACAGTCAGGGCCACACCCAGCGGCAGAAAGACACAGAAACTGAGATCAGCTCTGGGAAGACTCAGCTTAAGGAATTTGCCCCAACATTCAGGGCAGACCCAAAGGTATACTGTCATGTGCTATATAAAAGAATCTGCACAGTGCAAGCCCATAAAAATTCACCCTCTTCCGCAATGTGAAGAGAGATATGCCCTCCTTGCCCTCCTGCCCCAGTTAGAAATTGCTAAACTGGGTTTCCTAATAAACAAAGCAAATTTATTAACTATAAAAGGCAGATTTTAAGTGATTGTAAGGGATAGCAAACAGAAGAAAGCAGATTACTAAGCAAATAAAACAAAGCATGCAAACTAATCTTGATTCACTAAAGAAATTGGCTACAAATTGTAATTTCTCACCTTAAAAGTTGTTTCAGGAAGATTACAGAGATTCTTGAAAACCAGCTGCAGCTTGAAACTTCAGGTATTATTACTTACAGGCTATTACTCAACTTTCCAGCCTGGCTCAACTCTTTTCTCCCCGGTTCAGTTCTTGCTTCCAGGTGTTTGCAGTGTCTTTTTGGGTGGGGAGGCAGAGGAGGCCCTGATGATGTCACTCCTCTGCCTTATGCAGCTTTTGTGTATGGCAGGAACCCTTTACCTTCCAATGGAAAAACACTGGCATTCCAAGAAGTGGGGTCAGTATCAGGTGACTCAGACCCATGTCTCTGCAGGATCGTAGCAGCCATTACTCGCAGGCTGTCTGGAGCATCCACAGGAAGACTAAGCTCTTTCACAGTCCACTGTCTTTGCTGAAGGACCATCAGCCCTGTCTGGCTTTTTCGTTGTTTTACCTGAAGGGCTAGTTGTGGGTGTCACCCAAAGTAGCACATTTGAAATACAGATACATGGTCAATATTCCTAGCTTCAGATACAAAAATGATACATGCATACAAATTGGATAAACGCATTCAATAGATCATAACCTTTTCAATGATACCTTACATGACCCATCTTGCATAAAGTTTATCTGAGTTATGCCACATCCATATCATAGGTATATTTCCATAAAGAATATGGAGTATAACGTCACACCAAGAATCAGAGGTTAGAATTGTAAATGACAGGCTTAGTCCAATGATTCTCAACCAGAGGTACACAGAGGTTTTCCAGGGGGTACATCAACTCAGCTACATATTTGCCTAGTTTTACAACAGGCTACATAAAAAGCACTCATGAAGTCAGTACAAACCAGAATTTCATACAGACAATGACTTGTTTATACTCCTCTATATACTACACACTGAAATGTAAGTACAATATTTATATTCCAAACGATTTATTTTATAATTATATGGTGAAAGTGAGGTGGTCAGCCATTTTTTCAGTAATAACGTGCTGTGACACTTTTGTGTTTTTAAGTCTGATTTTGTAAGCAAGTAGTTAAGTGAGATGAAACTTGGGGATACGCAAGACAAATCATCCTCCTGAGAGGAGCATAGTCGTCTGGAAAGGTTGAGAACCACTGATCTAGTATATCCCTGCAGTAGGGAAGTTTAAAGTATTAACTACATTCCCACCTCATCCCAACTGTTAATTCCTGGATAGGTGAACCTTAAAGTCTAGCTGGGAGACTGAACGCTTTCATGGTGAAGAAAAGGACTTGAGGGATCAG